CATTCCTTAGCACCAAATCCGAGACAACAAGAGCGTGGAGCTCAGACCCATAACCATGGCCAAGCACAGGATGCAAATTACGTCATTACAGACAACACACATGGCCTGCAAAAATCAGTCTCAGAGATTTCTTTCTCTCTGAAGGATTCTTAAAATAGCCCAGGACAGATCCTCTTTGTCTATGTTTTATTTAGGGAAGAAATCCTAGAGTTCCTAATGTCAGAAGAACTCGAGCTTTATTGCTACTTGAAAAACGTTAGCTTTCCCCAGAGTCTCAGGCTGTGGCTCCTGAGCTGATAAACAGCTCCCAGTGCAGGAGAAACTGCTACCGACATCATTTCACAGCAGGAGCCATGCAGTCTACAGGCAACAGCACGAAGGGCAGACGAGAGTGTCACATTAAGGTGTCTCCACTCTCCCCTCTCACGAAGGAGCACACAGTGAGCTTACCTGTCCCCTCCTGGCTCCTCTGATGGCTGTGCTGTAGGAAGAACAGAGGACATTAGTCAGCCAAGTGAAAAATAAAACATGACATTTTTACTACTTGAATGGAGCAGAGCTGGAGATATATCATCCTTAGCTAGGGATGCACCCTGGGGACCTTCTTCATGCTCACATGCAAGCAGGAATCAGACTAAAAACTGGCCTGGAGTTTGCACTGTGCAGGCTTCAGTGGAGCATACTTGGAGAACTGGAGCGGCCAAAGCACTGGTCTCAGGGTGTCCCAGCACATCTTGCAGCCTGTGTTGACAAACGAGTGGCACAGCGCTCATATCTGAGGTGCACTCCATGACTAGCGCCGGGATTTTCCAGTGCAGCGATCGTACAGCTTACCCTAGACCCCCACACGTTCGGACAGCGTAATCCCCACAGGATGCGGCACCATATTAAAGACAAGGGCAGCTGCTTAGCCCTTGTCGTTCACAAAGGGCTGCTAGCACGGTCTCCGAGCTGGGCAAAACTTCAGCTCCTGCCACGGAGCTAAACAAGGCACTGGCCGGTCTCTGCTGCATTTCCCACTGACCAGACCACAGTCCCTGGCAGGATGCTAGCATACAAATGCCACAGATCTCCCCCCCGTCTCTGCCCTTTCTCATGGAATTAACTACCAAATAGCAATCTCATGTATAATTGTCTAATTTTAGGGCTCTTTTACGTCCCCTGACAGTACCTCGTGTCAGCCAGGCACAAATTTAACTACCCTGCTAAGGTTTGGCAGCCTGGCTGAGAACAAGGCAAAGCATCTCCCATCCCTCCCTGCACCCAACTCAGTGATGATCAAATGGGGACTCTGTGTAGTGCTGAAGGGAATAGCAATGTTTCAACAGCAGAGTTCATATACTTGTGCTCTGCCCTCAGACTCGTGCAGGAAAAAAAAACAAACAAATATTTCTGTGACCAGTGGAACTCATGAGCCTGGTTTCTCAAAGATTTGGGTCTTCTGACCAGCTGACTAGTGTCTAAGGATGCACAAGCTTCAACTAAAGCTCCTCCAGCAGCAGAACGTTTATAACTCTCCTGTTTTTAATAAGGTCCTTGGTCACATTGTCAAGGCCCCTCAAGGTCTACCTTCCTCTTCCTGTCTGCCTATTGTTCTGAAACTGGTAGGGAGAGAATCATCTTTGATGCTGTCTGGCCAACATCAAACTTGGTTCAAGTTGTCCAAGAGGTTTTAAAAATCAGTGGGACCCTATCCGACCCATAGTGTGTCACCATATAAATAGGACTAAAACAAAGGAAGACAGCTTATGCTTAAAGACCAGACTAGTTGTTAGAAACGGGTTTACAAATGCCATGTGGAAATAAAAGGGGTTTCTAGCCTCCCTGGAGTCATCAGCCAGATGCGAGGTCCACGAGTGGAAGTGTCTTCCCCAGGGAAATGCACAGAAGAGATGAATATGCTTCACTGCCAACAGCAAGTGAGATTTCAGACTCGAATTTAACCCTCACTTCATTCCCACAGAAGGGAGTAACTGCTTGTAGTGGCCTTGTCACCATCCTCCCAAGATACAGGATGTTTGGCCAAGTACGTCAGACTCCTCCTATCGCTGCAGGCGCTGCACCAGGCAGCTTGCACAGTGCAGCGGAGCGGGAGGCTATCCACAGAAGGGAGGAGGCAATTCTTTGAGAGCGTGACCCAGATTCCCAGTAATCTGGCCTGACAAGAGGAGTCAACTGCTCTCAGCCTGGGTTGCTCATCCACTCCTCTACCCTTGACTGTCTGACATGGCTCTCTGGGCAGCTGGCAGGCACTGGCCATGAAAGGAACTCAAATTTATTGCCTCAGAGTGAGAAAGAAATATCATGGATGCAGTTTCACCCATGCTGAGCAGTTGCTTCTCTCTCATAACAGCCATTGCTGTGTTTTGTTACTGTGCTCAGGAATCTAAAGCTGCTTAATCACAGGATGCAGAAATCCAGCTTTAACTCAAAGCCTCATCTTTTACCTGCACTAGGTGACTAAAGAAATTATATTTGGCACTGGCCCATTTATGATTGCTGGCTATACTGGTTTTAGCAGCTACCAAACAAGGTGCTGAGATGCTCACTGTAGTCCACTGGATGTACTCTGCAGACGCACCAGCAACGCAGCAAGCGGGATGGCACAGGAACTCCACTCTTCCCAGGCTGACTGCAGTGTCCAAGCCATCAAAACTATGCCAACAGAAGGACTGAAACAATTGCCCTCAGCTGCTTCTTCTGAGGGTGTCAGAGAGACTTTTAATCCAGGGGAGCTGCACAACATTTCAGAAGACTGCAGAGCGTTCATGTGATTTAACCTATCTGGCAAAACACAAGCTTTCTTTAAAATCAATAGTAGCTTGCTGCCTACAGTAGTGTAGGCTGCCTGCTGTCCATCCCAACGCACTGGAGTCTTAAACTGGTTGGAGGAATAGTACAACCGCAATAAACCCAGAGAGCATTTCAGATGGGCCAAATTCACGTAAGTAAAACTGCAACCTGTGCCGCAACACTGTTGAGCACCAGTACAACTAAGCCAGAAAGCAGGACACCCAGCTGGCCTCAGAACATCAGTAACTGGCTGAAATCTTACTGTCAGCATTTCACACTGGACTGTGGATTAATATGAACCACTTGACACACACCAGACTCTTCTGGGAGACTGGTCAGCAGCACAAGAGTTCAGGTTACATGTTGGTACTGATAAATAATCGTTGATGGATTCCTTGGCTCTTACAGGTTTTCAATGCTTCCTCAAGAGGAATTCTTCATCAGTGTGTAAACTGTAGCTAGAAAGCAGGGGCCTTTTTTAAGGAGTACCAGCATTCACTCGCAATGCGGCCATTGCTAGAGCTCTTCTCCACTAAACTCCAACCAAAACACAGCTGCCAAACAATAGTGCTACAAAAACCATCCTCACTTGATAACCATTTCAGGAGAAAGTGGAGATGTTTCCTAAGTCATTAAACGATATTTATTAACCACTCCACATAGAGGTGGTTACATATGAAGAAAATACCCTGCAAGGGAGCTGAAAACACCCAGTCCCTTCTGACAGGACCTAAAAAGGTTGTGCATCTTGGTGCTGTGAGCGCGTGCATCTCTGCTCACAGTGTGCGAGTAAACGCAGAATAAATGCTGGGGGTTTATGCCAGCGTTCCTTCAGAAGTGACGTTATAAGCAGTCACCCAAGACACACAGAACTGCCAAAAGCTGAGGTTTGTTGTATACATATGCCAGTTCTTAAAGGTGTGGTACTGACCTATTTCCAAGAACTCCTGGAAAGGTTTACAGGAAGCACTGAGGAGGAAAGCCACAAAGCTATAGCTCTGCTTCAGTGGGAAGCCAGAGCCAAACAAAAACCCCTAAGTATTCAGCAGTGCCAATTCAACCAGGAGGCCCCCTCAGGTAAGCAGTTCACAGCTTCTTCCTTGCAGGGGGTGAGGAAACGTGGTTCAGTGGAATAAGCTGAAATCAGGACCGTAACCTAATCAGGTACACCAGAAGGGTGTTCCTGTTCTTTGGCGTCAGCAGCAGACAGGAGTCAGAAGGGAGCAAAACATGGGGAAAAACGCCACTGCGGAACAGCTCAATAGGATGCACGCTAACTTCTAGCAGAATTGATGACACAGGATTAGCCCAAATCCATTTTTTTTCATTTTTCACTGCTCTGCATCGCAGAAATTGATTTCAGTATGGATTTCCTATTTTCTCTGAGATAATGCAACTTTTACAGGCCTGGCCCTTTCTGGAGAGGTTCTACCCCGACCTGCCTCAATAACACCATTCTGTATGGGACACCAAGCTTTCGCGTTTCTGGATGCGTTTCAAATGAGAAGTTTTGGGTTGGGTTTAAACTATTCCCTTAAAAAAATAATGCGAATAAGCAGGAAATTAAATTGGCCAGTCCAGTTTGGCTGCCTAGTTACCTAAACCGCACAAAGCAAACAGTTTTGAGACTACAGCTGAAACATATCTAATCTTATCAGGACTTCTGTGAAAGCACCCTTTAAGCCAGTACCCTTTTAGGTCACATAAAGGGTACCTTACAAACACACACATAGAGGGGCTTTCATTCAGAAACCCTCCCTAGAGTAGTGGGGGGCAGGGACAGCGGGCCCCAGGCTGCCTTTGAACAGCAGCAGCAGCAGATGAAGTAGGCAGTTCTAGGTCCAGTCGTATAATAAATTCCAATGAAGGAGGCACTCAAAGCAGACAGCAGCCAATCCATGCCTATCATCATCATGAGAATATTACTCTTGTTGCTATTGTGTCTGAGGTTGGCAAAGGCCCTTTAATAAATGGGAAAGATAAGCCAAGTGATCAGACTCACTGACTAGCTGGAGACCGCATGCTGTTCAGGACAGGTACAATACACTAACTGTCCTCGCTGTTAGACCTCATCGTCCACTCTGCTACGTGTCGCAAGGCAAAGTGGCTCTCACCTGCTTTGCCTCTTTCAGGCCATACGCCCGCACTGCACCTAACTAAAATCGACACAATTCAACCCCCCATTTCCTCCCCCTAGCTCAGGTGGCCATATACACTCAGATCTGGAATAACCTTTTCACCATGACAGGTGAAAGGAGAAAAAGGCCACACACATCTGCTGATTTACACAGACAGCAGAAGTTAAACTCTGCATAGAAAGAGGGATAAAAGACCACAAGCGCTCTTACCTTCCTTTCTAAGCTGGCTAGGAAAATTCAAGTTTCGAGAAATTCCAGTGCCCAGCAGAAACACTTCAACATCGCTATCACCAGTTTCTCTGACAAGCTTATCTGAGCTAGCTGGGCCTCAACAGTCACTCTCAAGACTACTCCCAGCACCTCTCAGCACTGGGAGCAATTCTGTCAGTCCTTAAAGACTGCTGCTTTCTATTTGCATAGGTTTGCCAAGGGGTACATCCTAATACTCTGGTAGACATCAGTATGCAAGGGGCAGCAACAGCAACAATGCCTGCAGTTAGAGAAGGAACAGCGCTTACACATCCTTAACAGAGTCAGAAACAGACCGACTGTGGCCATAGTGCAGGAGTTGGTAACCTGAGAACTGCATTACCAGCTACAGTGTTACCCATCACATACCTGAGAAGTCAAATAGGAATCTGGGCTTCCATCTTTCCAGCAAGAGGATGCCAAGAAAGGACATGCTGAGGAGAAAGAGGGGTCTCAGGGAAGTGGAGGAAAACAACCTAGAAACCAAATGGGAAGTTGTTAGTGGGGGGTAATGCTAGGAAAAGGCAATCAGCTACTGCTCTTGATGAGCAAACAAATGCTGCTCAGCGTTCAAAAGAGCAGAAACATCCAACTGCTACAGGCCAATGCAGCAAGCACTGTACTCCACAGCACGCGCCCAGCCATGAGCACATTCTCAAACGGCGCCTTTGCCCACTATCCAACCGGGATCACAGAGCTGACACCCGTCATCTCCGAGTACGCTCCTCCCCTGCTCCCAAGTTTCTCCTTCGGTTGTGAAGCAAGGCTAATGCTCCCTTGTACTAGTACAAGTCCCTTCAAGTGCTCAGGCTGGAGGCTCTAGATAACGTAAATACAAATTGCTGAGCAGGCTCTGCAGAGGCTGGTTGAGAATTAGCCCGTTCTCTGAAAACTTATGTCCTATATGTCATCATAATGTCTATTGCCATCCCCAGGTAGCACCAAAACAGACCCTGTATCAGCTTCCAGCTGCCAGATTTTTTTTTAAATCGCAAACATTTCCCTGCTTAATTAGAGCCTAGCATTTAAGTGGTTTAGTTGTTCACTTGACTTTATCCTAAGACCTTTCATGTCACTCACCAACACATTGGTTTGAGCCAAACACCAGCAGATACTCATGCAATCAATCCCACCATGAAAGAGTTTATCTGCCCACTTCATATAGGTTCAACACCAAAGGTCCCAGGATGGGACTTGAGTCAGTAGTGTCCGTTTGTATTCCTCCTTTCACGAGCACTTTGCTCCAGCTCAGAGGAGCTGTTTTTAAGTCACTCCAGAGCAACTGCAACCATTCTCAGACAGCCAGGGGAAATGCTCTCGCCTTCTTCTCCATTAATAAAAATTCCTTTCCAGAAAGCAAAACCCACTCAGACATTTCACCTCGCTCCTCTTCAAAAAATATTTGTCAATAACTAATAGCAAATGCACCAGCCAATGAACAGAACCAGAGAGCACACGCACTTTGCTGTGCGGCACGGCGGAGCGCTGTGGCCCCCACCAAGGCAGAGGCAGAGGACTTGGAGGAGAGATCTGTCTCCCTGAGGAGCACAGAATAAAATCCACATTCTTTTCAAGGACTTACTGAGGCTCTGTAATGACCTAAACAACATAGCTTTCATCCCTTCTCACGGGACAACAATTCTGTAGCTTAACACATCAACTCGGGAAGAATTTCCTCCTATCCCTCCCTAATTTATGTATTTCAGCTACAGGACACAGGCTAAATGCTCTATGGGGCCGTAAATAATTCCTCCCCCTCCATGACATTTAAATCTCTCTCTTCTGTCCCATATTCTGGGCACTCTTTGTTCCTCCCTCAACCTTTTCCTACACAGCCCCTTAGTCATCACCCTATACCATACCTTCAGTCTCACGGCACACATTTCCCCCTCCCGCTAACTTCAAAGCTCTGCTTTTGGACCTTTTCATTTGATAGAGTAGGCCAATGTCATTTAAGTACCCAGCTATTATGCCTCTGAATAATCTTATGGATGAGGGAAGAGAATATAAGCAGCCTCTTCAGAGTGACTTCAAAGGCCGCTCGGTCACATACTTTCCCCACTCTCCCTT